AGCATCACTAAAACATTCTAAAATACCTGTTTTATAGCCTGATTTATAAACGATGCATTTTTGCTTGGAATTTGCAATGTATCTAAATACACGCTTAACCTTGATTCAGTCTTCTTTAGAGGGATTTTCTAATTTACATGTCAAAACACTAATAGAGTATGCCAAGTCAGGTCTTGTCCCCATCATCAAATACATCAATGCACAGCTTCATGGTAAGGGATATCTGTTTCATTAACTTCTTCTGTGTAAACTACTTTATCTTTCAAAATGGATGTATGAGCTGGTCTGCAGTCACTCATGCCAAACCACTGAAGGATCTTTGTGGCATGTTCTTCTTGTCCTATCTTAATACTTCCATCTTCAAGACGCTGTATTTCTAGTCTTAGGAAATATGAAGCTAGCTTACTGGTGATTTTAAACTTCAACTTCAACTGCTCTATAAAGTTTCTGGAATCTTCTTCATCAGTAGCAGCAATCAGTCCATCATCCACGTAGAGTGTTATGAGTAGCTTCTTACCGTTTTCTTTTTGAATGAATAGACATAGGTCTGCTTCACTGACCTTAAACCCAAGGTCCATTAGGAATTTTCTGAAACATTTATGCCAGCATTGAGGAGCTTTTTTTAGCCCATACAAGCTTTTCTTGAGTCTCTATACTTTATTGGTACCATCGTTATATCTTTCAGGCTGATTCATATAGATGGTTTCCTCTAGATCACCATACAAGAAGGCAGTTGAAACATCAAATTGCATAAGATGCATATTCTCGCTAGCTGCAATGCTTATGAGTGAACGCACAGTTCCTAGCTTTGTGATTAAACTGAAGGTGTGATCGTAATCAATACCTTGTCTTTGATTGCAGCCTTTAATGACAAGTCTTGCTTTGTACTTATCCATGGTGTAATCTGGATTTTTCTTGATTTGAAAGACCCATTTGCAAGGAAGAGCTTTTGCTTGATCTGGAAGAGTATCTATTGTCCAGGTGTGATTTTCCTTCAAGGAGCTAATTTCACAATCCATGGCCTTTTTCCAGAAATCCTGTTCTTTACAATTAATGGCTTCTTTGTATGACTGTGGTTCATACACATCACACATAAAAACTTCAGATGCCATCACATAGTCTTCTAAACGTTTAGGCCTTTTTATTGCTCTGCACTTTCTTAAGTTCATAGCAGGTGATTCGTTTTCATCTTCATTTTCACTTTCAGAACTTGTTTGATCTTCTGAATCTTCTTGATCTTGCTTCCCCTCATTTTCAGCTTCAGGTAACTGTATTATAGGTTCAGGTAAAGGTATTTCTACTGTATCTTTTACTACTGTTATTTTCTACTGTACAATTTTTCAGAGGTTTTTCTTGAAATACTACATCTCGTGAGCAGATAATAGTACTGGTTTCTTTTATCCAGATGTGATATCGTTCATTTCCATCATATCCTAGTAGGTAGCCCTTTACGGCTTTCTTATCCATTTTTCTGCGTCTCTCATCTGGTATGTGAGCAAAACAGGTGGATCCAACAATACTCATATGTCTTATTCTAGGTTTTTGTCCCATCCAAGATTTGTAAGGACTTACATTTGATAATGAAATTTTCCCTGTTCTGTTTAAAATATAGACAGATGTACTAATAAATTCAGCCTATAATGAGGAGGGAAAATTAACTTTCATAATTAGAATTCTTCAAAGTTCTTGCCATTTCTGCCAAGGTTCTGTTTTCTCGCTCCCTCCCACTGTTGTGCTGTGGCATATAGGGGGCAGTTAATCTTTGAAGAATTCCATTTTGTCTTAGAATAAGCCTAACATTTTCATTATCAAATTCGCCACCTTGTCGCTTAACAACTCTTAATGGTATGTCCTAAGTTTTTTGCATATGCTAGCATATTTTCAACTGCTTCTGCAACTTCTGATTTATGGCGAAGGAAAAACACATACCTAAATTTGGTGAAATGATCCTTCAAGACTACAAAATAACGATACCTTTTTAAGGATTTGTCAAACGGTCTGCAAACATCCATTGAGATAAGTTCTACGGGCTTTGTTTTCTTCTCTCTGTTGCCAAATTTTAGACGATGTGTTTTCCCATGTTTACAGGGTTCGCAGAGTTGACTGTCTAGTTTAACCCTGATACCCATCTGTTCTTCAAGGACATTCTTAATATGGCATTTGTCCTGGTGACCCCAGCGCTCATGGTATAACTGAGAGTTGATCAACTTGTGACAGCTATGTGATTTCTACTGGGTTATTCGGAACAAGTACTTCCATATGATTTATACAGACCACCACTACGCTTCTTGTACCATAGAGTAAAACTTCATGTTGATTTTCAGCCAATATTCTTCTGCAGTTGATTCAAATCTACTATTTTTTTTTTATTGAGCAGCCGTATGGAGAATAAGTTCTTACTAATACCTGGAACAAACCAAACTTTAGTTCTTTGAAATTGTTTTTCTCCTTTATTGTTGTCATAAATCTTCAAAGTTCCTTTACCTACAGCTGGTAGTAATTTGCCATTTGCAGCAATAATTCGATGTGGTGTTTCAAGTTTTTCAAATTCTGTGAAGTGCACTATTATTGGTAATGTGCTTTGAAGCACCATTATCCACAAACCAGTCATAGCAATTCTTTTCAGATGAGAAAGTTTCGTCTATAGCTAATAAGGACATATTTTCCTTTAAACACCGTCTTTCTTGAGACTTTATCATTTTGACTGGGTTCAATGGTCTTCCATCTTCTATCCATTTTCGAAAAATTAATCCAATGTCCACTCTGGTGGCAATCGTTGCATTTTCATCTGCTTTTAGCCTTGAATTTCTTTTTTTAGTTTGCTTGCTTTAGCATCTAATGCATCTTGATTTTGGGACATTACCTAAGATTTTTTTCTTTATATTCTCTTTCTTGAGAGCATAATTCAGTAGTCAATTGTTCTTTTTCTTCAAAGAAGCAGCCTGACTTAAAAGAACGGTACTCTTAAGGTAGGTGTCTAAAATTGCAAATTAAAACATCTGAGGAAGTTGGGTTTCTTGCTTCTTTGAAGATTTAAAAATTAATCATTCAAAGATTCTTCAGCTTTGATAGATGGGCAGCCATAGTATTCATTGTCCACTTATACTTAAAAAAATTGTAGACAAATATTATATATGATTGTCAGATGTTGCTTCAAAAGGTATGAAGTTCTAGCCATAACTTCTAGCAGTATCAACCTAATTTTTTTGCAGGTTTTTCTGTCATAAAAATTGTCAGACCACACAGTGTTGGCCTTTTTATATCATGAAAAATCATCGAGTATTCTTGAAAGTGGCTGATCTGTTTAACTATTTTTCCTTCAACACTTCAAGGAGTCGTTTATTTGTAGTTTAAAAAGCGAACTGATTCTACTTCCAATCGGAATCTGATTTTTCCACTTAATATTTCAACTGCAACTTTCCTACTCCATTATTACTCTAGCATTTCTGTAAGTTCTTCACTTTTAACAAAAAAAAAGAAAAACACTTGAATATTAGTCCACTTCAATCAAATACTTGTTAGGGCTTTTTTTAAAACAAAATGATTTCAGGACTTGAATAATGAGGAGGAAAAACTTTGTGTTTTGCCGATCGCTTGTTAGGTTAATGCTACTCTCTAAATTATAAAAACTTCTCATTACAATAAAAACTTATATCATTTTTCACATGAGCGTGGCATAAAAACTCATAACCTATTGCATTTTAAGATTTAATCTAAAAGTGCAAGTTAACAGAAGTAGTTGAAACGCAACAAAAAACATTTGAACTGACCATTTTAACATAAATAACTTCAACAAAAACATTTATTGAAATTACTTAAAAATTGTAGTATTTGTTGTGTAATGTAACGTGACTGGCCTAAGAAATGTATGGCATCATCTGAAAAATAGGATAATAAGTTTAAGTGCATTTAACATTAAGGTAAATGGTGCCAAGCTGGCAATAATTTTGGAAACTAATTTTTGTCATCAAACTTGGCGAAAAATCAGCCAAGTCACCTAATTTGGCTACCATTTTATCACAGTTTGGTCTAACCTCTGTATAAATCCCTATGTAACTGAAATTACTGGTCCAATCCCTTTGTAACTGAAATTGTGTATGCCTTCCAGCAATTTTAAGAAATCGTAGGTACTGGAAATTTCTTGATGGTTAAAGAAAGCTATGTAAGACTGGAGAGAGCAGAAGCTTTCAGTTTAGTTCATAGTATTGACTGATCACTCTACGATCTTACACATTTGAGACATTTTGTATTGTTCAGCGTTTTTAGTACTTTGAAGCGGTAACTATCGATTGTGCTTTGTGATACTGAGAAGAGCTGTGCTTTTGTGTAAAGAGTTCCAGAATTGTAAAGCGCTTTTGGAAAAATAAATTTCAGCAAGCTGTTATTGATTCTGTGTGCATTCAATCTGTTATAAACCCATAAGCACATAACAGTATGTTATCTCTGAGGAATTTGATGCTGCAGGAAGTAGGAAAGCTAAATAAAGGCTTGCAGACATAAGCTGTAATAGCAGATAAAGCTGTGTAATTGATAGAGGAATTAACCTGGGTTTAAATCCGGGAGGTGGGTTGCCTGTAAAATAAAGTGAGCCAGTCTCTCTTAGAAAGTTATCAACGAAGGTATCTCTTCCTTTGGGCAGATAGCCCAAATATTCTTAGCATATTAAGTTAAATAAGCAAACATAATAGAAAGATCATATTTTTCATCACTTGTTTTACCTCAGATGAAAAAACATCCGATTATGGCTGTGACTCTTAAATCGAATGTTTGACATGAGCTCAAAGTGCTTTATGTACTCAATGACAGATAAGACAATTTATGCTTACAGTTATTATCAGAGCCTTCCCCCTTTAAAAAAAAAAATATTTTGACATGCTCTACAGTTTGGAATATTTCCATTTAAGCAATTTTCATTGTTTGTATTATGGAAGGAATAAATTTTAGGTATGTACATTTTTCTATGATTTTTTTTTTTTTTTTTTTTTTTTTTTTTCCTGCTTTTAACAGAAAAAAGAACAGCTGTGGACCAGCATCTGACAAACGGAGGGGAACAGGATTTGAGTTTCCTGTTCCATGGATTTGCTATGGTAGAGCGAGAGAATTCACAAGGTAATAATAAAATTCAACTTATGTGTAAAAATATATATTTTGTGAATGTTTTCCTCAAAATTATATGAAGCTCTAGTGAATAAATAGAGTATATCAAATATTTCAATAGATGATGTATCAGAAATCTCCATCTGATACACATGGCATAAAATCAGAAACGGAGTATATATTAATCCTTATGTAAAGTTGTAAAATTTCTCTCCATACTGAATTATTACGTTTTAAGAAGCTAGTCTGGGATTTTATGCTTTGGTAAAAATTATTAAATTTCTCCAAAATTAAAAATGCTGAATCATAAGTTATCCAATTTTTTGTTATTGTATCAAAAATTTAAATTTGTCTGTGATAAGTTTTTAAAAGATATTAGAAAAAGAAATAAAATATTTATTTTTCTGCTTTATAAGGCTGCGTGCTTGAATATTATGTAAATATAGCTATATTTATGTAATATAGCTAAGACAGCATAAACTAAGTACTTCACGTGTTGAAAGCGAATTCTCTTAATCAAGGATAAGTACAGTGCAAAGTCCAAAATCCAAAATGATCTAAAATCTGGACTTTAAAGCCACCGACAGAAAATTTTTTAGGAATTATATTTTATGCTTTATGCATGCACATGTGATATTTTCCCCATAAAAAAACGTGGAGAATCCTGATTCTTGATTTCACTTCGGCACTAAACAAAATATGTCATTACCAATCATTTTAGCTTAAATTTGTGTGATCAATAATTTGGCTCAGTAGCTGTGTATTTACTTGACATGCATCTCAAACGGAAACATTCTACATAGAAACATCATTGATTTTACAATTGCTAATATTTTATATCCCCGAAGTAAACCTGGCGTATCATTATTTACTATATTTTGCTTTCATCACCATATGTTTATCAACACATGACAACTTGAGTAATTGACTTATGCAGCAATGCTTAAACAATTTTTTTATAATTGAATAACAGAGTACGGAAACCTTTTATGTTGACATTACGTTTGGTGATGATTACAGATTTAAGTTAAATGTGCTAAACATTGACGAATAAAGATAACATTTAATGCTATTTGAATTAAGAATATTTTTTTTTTTTTTTTTTAAATTCGCATAAACCCAGAATTGGTGCCAGAGTTCATATGGCCGCATTGGGCGATAGAAATTTAGGGAAGACAGAATTTTTGGAATTTAGAAGAGAACAGAGTAACAAAATTAAGGGATGATAAAATTTTTTAAATTTAGGGAAGACACTGAGACCGAAAATTAAGGGGTGGCGAAAATTTGGAACTTAGGGAGATGCTGGATAGCAGAATTTAGGACTCGCGAAGAATGCATCAATGGGCAAAATATCGCTGGCCCTCAGTAAGCTTGAGTATATGTGGGAATTTATTTATTCAGGACTCAGTTAAGGCTTAATTATGTACAAGAATTGCATGTTAGTATAATAAATAACAAAATAATGCAATTCAGGCTTAATTAATTGCCTCAGTGTGCAATAGAAGCAAGACAAAATTTGATGCAACAGCTTGTCTTTCGTAACCAATCTCATGCTACATATCCAATAATGTATAGTGGATGCTATTAAGCTAGGTTAAAATTGTACTTTGCTGAATCCAAAGAATTTCATTTAATATAGCAGACTGTGCTGTTTCTTACCTTTCTGATTTGATTCAGCTTCTTATTTTTTGCTGGCTGTTATAATTACAGCAGTTTTATGAAAACTAAGGTTTGAACTTTGAAGAATGTCGAAAAGAGTTTCTAATTCTGGAGCTGCAACAGAATCTAAAAAGCAAAAGCAGCATGTCTCAATGTCCATTAAACAAAAAGTGAAATTTACTGCAAAAAATGGATATAGGTATATCCGTCTTGAAATTGTACGAGGAGTATGGCATTGGAATATCAACTGTGTATAACATAACAGAAAAAGCAACTACTGTACAAAGTCCATAATCCGGACTCGTCGGGACTTCAGCGATTCTGGATTAGGGGTTTTTCCGGATTATAGATCATCAATTTAAATCTGGTAAGATGGCATGCAGAAATTATACAATTAAACATATGAAACTGCAATTTATGAAATAAAGAGCAATTATAATCTAAAGGGTATCAAAATTTACAAAAAAAAAGGCTTACTATTTATTTGTTTACTTTATTAAACATTTCTTTCAATGTAAGTTGTTCAAGTTCGTCCATATTTTTTTTAATGCTTTCTGTTTAATTCTCTCTTTTATAAACAGACATAATTTCTTGTTCAGTTACAAAGTTACACTGTTCAAATCCTGTAATTGCTGTGTTGAGAATACCGACTAACTTGTCAATCGAAATTTTTTCGTTTTCAATAACGAAGATTCGAATATCGCGAACCACAGGTGAAACTTTCCAATTAATGGATTTTATAAAGAAATGTGGAGAAGCGGTAATAAATGATGATGACATAACAGAACTTTTTCATTGCGATGACAATGCTCCAATCATCAATCAATTAATGGACGGTGAAATCTGTAAGTATGGTTCTAGATCTAGAAAATACTGCTAAATAGTGAAGAAAGTGACAAAGAGGCTATTGAAAATGAAAAAAATTTGATTGACAAGTTAGAATTCTTGACACAGCAACTACAAAACTTGAACAGTTGAATTTTGTAACTAAACAAGGAATTATGTCTGTCTATAGAATCGAACAGAAAATATTAGCGCAAAAAATGGAGCAACTTAAACAATTTACATTCTTAAACATTCAAAGAACTGTATAATAAAGAATTAAATATTAAGCTTTTTATATATATAAATTTTGATACACTTTAGATCATAAATCCTTTATTATTTATAAATCACGATTTCATATTTTTAATTTAATTTTTACATGCCGTCTTACTACATTTAAAGTGCTGATCTAATATCCGGAAAAATCCCAAATCCAGAATCCCCGAAGTCCTGACGAGACTGGATCTCGGACTTTGTACTCTATAAAGTACAGAACGTTGATTTTGAAGTGTAATCAAATTTTATTTTTTATGCACGTGTGTGGCATACGTAAGTTGGTGGCATCCTTTTCTAAATAAGTACATTTTTATTTTCAGATTTTTTCTTTGGTGATAGTTTAGCTACATAAAATACAGTTGTAAAGTTTTTTTATTTGTTTTGTGTATATGATATTGAAAAATAAAGCTCAGATTTTCAACGTAAAGGAAATGTAATACTTTATTATTGCTAAAGCAACAATTTACACAGATGAGTAAAATTTTAACTTCCATATATTAAGACACAATAACACGCCAAATAAATACTAATTCAGAAGTCAAACAACAAAAATCAGCGTTATATTTACAAAATTTTCACAGGACTAGTTTCGATGGTTTTACCGAATCACCATCCTCAGCTGCAAAACCGCAAATGAACAAGCAGTTTTGCAGCTGAGGATGGTGGTTCGAACAAAGTTTCGAAGAAACAGAGAACAAAAACAGAGAACGATCACCATCAAAGATGGTGTTCGAAATGACGACCTATTACCTTGATGCAGGCCTCATATCTCTGGCACCTGTAAGATCTGATATTCTGGAAAATAGCAGGCATATACCCAGCAGTACGAGTTTTTCAGCACTGTTAACAGGGATTTTGTTCACTAGTGTCTCCTCCACTTCAATGTATTGGATCAGCAATGATGGTCCAGTGCATTGGCCTGCAAGATTGCCAACCTCATTTGCATTGACTGCTTCCTCTGGGGGGGGGGCAGGACAAGATACTGGTATACATCTTCCACACACAAATAGGAGGCATCCATCATGGTCTTGGGTCTTAATTTTGAACACATTCTTTGATAATGATTGTTGTCTGTTTTTGTTCTTATTTCTTGGTTTCTGCTGCACTAAGCATAATAAACATGTTTTCTCACGCTGTTCTTGTCCTTCCTCTTCTGTGTTTTGTGTTGTCACTACTGCACCAGGAAAACATTTCTAATCATGCATTGCTATGTGATTTTCCATCACCTAGGTGTACTCTTTCTCTCCTGAAAGTTTGTAACCACTGTGCTGAAACAGCCTGTGTGTGATGTAGTTTTTGCAGATAATGGAACGAATTCACTTTTTAGTCATAGCCGAAAAAAACTGCTCCGTAGATCTGACTGGAGCGAAAATCACAACTGTCTTGATGGTTACATCATTTCTATTCTGAACAGGAACAATTATTCAGAAGTACATTTTAGCTTAAATTGATACAATTTTGAGAAGTGCTAAATGGTCCCGCAATTTCTATGTATGCAGTTTATACTTCAGATAATAGAGCAAGAAGCTTAATGAAGAGATGTGACTTTTCTTGGCAGATCAAACAAAAAACAAGCGATACGTAATAACTGCAGTAGTAATAAACTCAGAAAGTTTTTAATTTTGAGCAGCAGGTGGGCAAAAGATTTTACATTGCCGTTACTGATGACAAAGCGTGATGTAATAAAGTGCTATACAGAGCCTTAAAGAGGGGATGTATGCAATTAAAATTAAGAATTTAAATAACCATTCCAATTAAATTTAATTTCATAATAAATTTTTGTCATATTTTGATATCTTGCGTGTAATATATTGTGCAAATTCTGAAATCCAGACATCAATATCCTGATCTCTAGATCACCGAGAATTTTTTTTTTCCCCCCCCAAAAAACGGAGAAAGATTCCTAAAGCAGCATCTCACTTTGGCATATACATAATACTAGAGAATCATCGTTGGAGGATGAGTTTAGAGGGAGCTGCCCAGTATTTTAATTCAGTTAATTAGTTTATAAGGTATTTCTCCCGCCTTCCTAGCATGCCTTCGTGGTGTAGTGGTCAGCACACTAAGCCAGGATTTCAGAGGTCCGTGGTTTGATTCCCGGTGAAAGCGGTTGCTAATTTTTCATCTCTCTGACCTTCAAAAAAAATACATAGTCTCTACAGTGGTGCCCAAACTAAAAAGAGTGGTGAATGATGATTTCTCCCCACCCAGGATTTGGCGATTGAGTGCCCTAAAAACCCCAGTAACCCTTT